ATTTACAATCGTAAGGTTTCATCCGTAAGGATTTAGATGCGCATTTATCGTATTAAATACAAAGATCAAACATCCGAACGACAGAGTCGACCCGTGAGCGACGATGGCACTTCCTTCCCAACCTTCTTCCAACCGATCTGTATTTTTTGCCTTGTGCTTTGTCAACTTGTTACATTTACACGACACTCTCGTTTCTTCTGCTTGCTCCCGAGACAGAGTTCTCTCTTTTATGATAGATCTCACCGCGTCCGTCGTTTCCACTTCTTTGGACGCCGCCTGCGTTTTCTCATCGGCCTCCTCTTTCACCTCGGTCCCCACGATTCCCGCTGTGTAGTTACAAGAGTAAAGCACGTTATCGACCACTGTCCCGTATTCGCTGTAATTCAATAATTCGTAACGTTTGGTGCTCTGAAAAAGAACGTGAGTAACCAAGTAACTGGTGTTGGTGAAAGCGGCCACGCGTAATAGAAATATGTTCAGTGTACGCGCATCACACGTACCTCATCGAAGAAAATAATAGCGTGTTTCGAGGACGTAAAGCTACAATTACCATAGTCGGATAGAATTAAATCGCAGTTGGGGCCACTGCCGATGGTCAAAGTTTTATGGACCATGAAAGCTGGCGGTTTTGGTTTGTGGTTTAACGAAAACAACGCTGCCCTGGCCATCGTCTGGCAGTCGATCGTATCGTAGTTTTCTCCGTCCGGATCTAATATTTGTTCCAGTCGTTGTAACGCCAATGCTTCCAGTACCGGTCTCTCCAGTAACTGTACACCTTCCTTGGCATCGTAGCCAAACCGTTCGGCATGATATTCGATGTCGTTTCTATGTCCATTTTCATTTGGATCTTCTACTAAATGTACACTCTCTTCCTGCTTAACGTCACTACTTGCCGCCTGTCGCTCTTTCTCCTCCGCCCCTTTTACTCGATCGTTCTCTTCCTTTCCCACCTCCATCGGCTCCTCCGACGATTTTTCTACCACCTCCGCACCACTCTCCGTTTGCACGCATTTCGTATCCTTGACCGTCGTCGGCCTTATCACCGCGTCATGATAAAATTGCACTGGATCTAATTCCGGTGGATTTTCGTAGTGGAACTTTACAGAATAGGGTACTCTTACTCTCGTCCGTCCCTCTAATTTGACTTTCGTGCGAAAGAGCGGGTTCGTCGCTCGTGCTTTACGCAAAAAGTCCAATTTGACCGCGTGCTGATCTATACGTTGATTGGCGTATTTGTCCCAAAGTTTAATGCGTTCCGTCACTCTACAAGACGTTAACAGATTCTGGTCTATGAAATGATTCGGATGATTGGGACACATCCATCTTCCGATGGGAAAAGCGGTGAGCGGTGGGTCTAAGCAATCTTGATGGAAGTACAACGGGCAGTAATCGCATGCTATCAACGGCGCTTTCCGACAACTACGACCGCATTCGAAGCACAATCGTGCTGGCAAAGGTACCATTAAATTGTTGTCTAAGCAGTGACTTTTTCCTACTAACAATAAGAAATAAGGGAACAAGCTGTGTAGTTTCGAATAACTCGACGACGAAGAGAGGAGATCGACGACAGTTACGAGAGTAATACGTACCATTGTTATTACCGCTTGTTTGCTTTCCTCTTCTACCTGAAACATAATCTACCTTGTTGCTACCAGGAAACATAATTGGCAATTGAAGTTCCTTAGGTAATTCGAATTCTCTCGGATTGACCAACGATGCTGCCAGTGCCAACACTTCCAACGCGGATTTCTTCTTATCTTTCTCATTTCCCTTCTGGTCCAAGAGATTTCTTTTTGACGCGCATCTACAAGCGTAGCACAACCACTCTCCGTTAGGAATATCTGCCGGATCCACTGCTGGGTAACTGGAAACGATCGCATGTATCGTCCTACCTTGCGACGGTTACTCTTAGGTATACGCATGTTCAGATACTCACTGGCACTGCAAATGATAAGACGCGGGACATTTGTCACAACATATAAGCTCTCCTCCATCACGGCAGGCATCGCAAATATCTCTGTTGTGACCACGTCCTCTTCTCTTAAAGTATGGATGCTTCTTCTCCTCCCTATCCTTTTTACTTTTCGCCACTTTAGAATCCTCCGATACGGGTGGTGCTATAAGGGCTTGAATTTGCTGGTAAACGTGGATCAGCGATTAATCAGAGATCTCGTTATGTTCAACAACTTTCTGTACACAGAACATTGCTTTTGATCGATAAAACGGTCTGATTTCTGTCTCTACTTACTGGCATTAAACCGCCGATCATTGGAAAACCGTACTCTACCGTACCCATTTCAATACGAGCTATTCACCTCGAACGAAATATGATTTTCTTATTGGTACATATAATTTGTTTGCTTCCTGCTGCTCACAAGTTCATTCGCATGTCTCATCTTTCATATTCGATGTATATTGGTTATGATTAAAACTTACAGAAAAGAAAAAGGGGATACCAAGAGGACGCTGCACCACCACCGATAGTAACGTTCGCCACCGTTCGCCGCGGACTGTGTACAGTGTATGTATACCCAGCCCAGCAGCCAAACAACGACGACGACGACGACGACGACGACGACGATGACACCACGAAGGTATGACAGTAGAGTAGAGGAGTAGAGTATGATCCAGTATGACCCGTTGACGTCGTTATCAGTGATGCGTATAATATGGAAATGAAAGCCCAGGCGTCCCCGTCCCCAGTTCGATCGTGCTGCCAAAGTGTACCAAAACTAATAAAGAAAAAGTTGGGGGCAGCACTAGTATGGTGTTGTTGAACACGCAAAACCCGACCGTGGTGAGCACTCTCATCAACTCTCATTTCTTCTCTGGTGTGACGTGTGACATATATATATGCGCATGTAATGTCAGCAGCAAGCAGCTAAAATAAGAAAAAAGTGCACAAGAAAGTATAAGTAATTAGAAAAGTGACGAAAGGTGCGCGCGCGTTAGCAGTTAGTTCATTTCGTTTGGATCAAGTGCTTCTCACGTTCATACATGTGATGTGATGAGTAGCGTGCATGAAGATTCGTGTTCTTGGATAGAGTATCTGTTAGAAACGATTAAAACGTTTAGCTACTGCTGGGTAACTGGAAACGATCGCATGTATCGTCCTACCTTGCGACGGTTACTCTTAGGTATACGCATGTTCAGATACTCACTGGCACTGCAAATGATAAGACGCGGGACATTTGTCACAACATATAAGCTCTCCTCCATCACGGCAGGCATCGCAAATATCTCTGTTGTGACCACGTCCTCTTCTCTTAAAGTATGGATGCTTCTTCTCCTCCCTATCCTTTTTACTTTTCGCCACTTTAGAATCCTCCGATACGGGTGGTGCTATAAGGGCTTGAATTTGCTGGTAAACGTGGATCAGCGATTAATCAGAGATCTCGTTATGTTCAACAACTTTCTGTACACAGAACATTGCTTTTGATCGATAAAACGGTCTGATTTCTGTCTCTACTTACTGGCATTAAACCGCCGATCATTGGAAAACCGTACTCTACCGTACCCATTTCAATACGAGCTATTCACCTCGAACGAAATATGATTTTCTTATTGGTACATATAATTTGTTTGCTTCCTGCTGCTCACAAGTTCATTCGCATGTCTCATCTTTCATATTCGATGTATATTGGTTATGATTAAAACTTACAGAAAAGAAAAAGGGGATACCAAGAGGACGCTGCACCACCACCGATAGTAACGTTCGCCACCGTTCGCCGCGGACTGTGTACAGTGTATGTATACCCAGCCCAGCAGCCAAACAACGACGACGACGACGACGACGACGACGACGATGACACCACGAAGGTATGACAGTAGAGTAGAGGAGTAGAGTATGATCCAGTATGACCCGTTGACGTCGTTATCAGTGATGCGTATAATATGGAAATGAAAGCCCAGGCGTCCCCGTCCCCAGTTCGATCGTGCTGCCAAAGTGTACCAAAACTAATAAAGAAAAAGTTGGGGGCAGCACTAGTATGGTGTTGTTGAACACGCAAAACCCGACCGTGGTGAGCACTCTCATCAACTCTCATTTCTTCTCTGGTGTGACGTGTGACATATATATATGCGCATGTAATGTCAGCAGCAAGCAGCTAAAATAAGAAAAAAGTGCACAAGAAAGTATAAGTAATTAGAAAAGTGACGAAAGGTGCGCGCGCGTTAGCAGTTAGTTCATTTCGTTTGGATCAAGTGCTTCTCACGTTCATACATGTGATGTGATGAGTAGCGTGCATGAAGATTCGTGTTCTTGGATAGAGTATCTGTTAGAAACGATTAAAACGTTTAGCCACGATTTAGCAAATCTGCTCTCGACAACCTTCGACTTGTCGTCGTTTCATTCGATCGACAGCATCGTCGACAATAATGAGTTCAAGCAAAAATTATCCGATTTTTTCAACGAATTCATCGGTCTATTAGCGTTCGACGATTTTCAGCTGCAACTGTTGAAAGTGTTCTTGCTCACGTTCGTTAGTACCGTGGCACTGATTTTCATTGCTTGGCACATGTACGGTCCTAGGATTTCCGAACAGTTCATGGGAGACACCTGCAGTAAGAGAATTCATATCTTTTTCTTTCCGATATCTACGTATCTGTCAAGATTTTAAAACTAGTCGAACGGATTGTACCAGATCGCATGTATACTGCAGTTAATATCAGCGTATTGTCAGTGTGATCAGTGAGATCGGCAGGACTCTGCCTGCCGATGAATATCCGCGCTCCTTTTCACTCTATTTTTTTTTACATAACATTTTGCAATGTATCGTAATCACGCGATAGAATCGTCCGTTTATTCAAATGCAAATGAGACTACTTTCGTTGTAGATACTGTGCCAGAGGATTCTTCGTCCGGAGAATAATCTTTTATTTAAACAGTCAAACGTAACAATTGTTAGTGAAACGTTCATAGTTTTATATCGTAATCTGGTCCACGTAGTCAAATATCTTTTATTTGTTACAGACTGATAAGGAGTAAAAAAGAAAGATAAAAATTAAGGGCGCAGTCGTTACGATCAATTTGTTCCTCGTAATATCGTAAACAAATATCGCGACCATGGCCGACAAAATTAAATCATTTTTTCACAAAATGGTGGTGGACACGAAGTTTATAAATGCCGGAAAGGGGCATAGGTAAAGATCCTGTTATAAAATTTTTGTTGAACAACAGAAAGATGAAACACGGAAAGTTGACTAAAAAATTTCTATGACAGATTGACAGAAACGGCTAGTAGTAACGTTGCATCTACTTCTACAGTGGAACCGAGAAAGAGGGTAGAACCGACAGCAGAAGCCAGAACTGCTGGTCAAGCTGCTCTGGCAAGATTAGAAACAAAAGATAAAAAGAATGAAAAGAAATTTAATACGTAAGCAAAGAGCGAGTGATACTTTGTTTCTATAACTTTTAGCTTCTATAACGGTGGCAATTTAATGTAACTGATCGTTCGTCGCAGGTCGTACGCAGCTATCAAGGCACAGGTGCAACGAGAGTTGGAACAAGAGATGAGAGCACAGCGCGAAGCACATGCACGATCGAAAGAGAGAGTCGAGGAAGAAGCAACGGTTAAAGATACATCGTTGTTAGCTGTTGCCAATGTGTGTTATCGTTGTCCATTTTTATCGGACGAGGTGTTACCACGAGATGAGTGGAAGATGAAGATAAAAGAATTCTTATACGAACAATTGAAAGGAGAAGATGCAGCATTGGTATCGTGTCTGATCATACAAAATTGTAACGATAAAAGGGAAAAGGTCGAGGCTTGCGTCGAAACGCTTGGAAAGTATCTAGAGAACATTATAAATAATCCGGAGGAAGAAAAATATAAGAAGATCAGAATGCAGAACAGAATATTTCAGGTAATACTCTCGTGTGTTTTATGCACGAGGCTCATAAGTATAGTGTATAAATACCTGGAAAAAAACAATGGATAAAAACTAAATCCATTTTCTTTTCCCTAGGAGAGAGTAGTTCCGGTGAACGGAGCATCAGAGTTCTTAAATGCAGCCGGTTTTCAGCCAACGAAATTACTGAATAACGACGATAAAGAAGAGGATTTCTTGGTTTGGAGTTCGGACAGTTGTAGCATGGACGATCTGACCACGCTGCTCGAAGCATTAAAGACCGCGGAGCCTATGCCGCTTGAATTGGATAGAAATCTTCAAGTACTGCTGCCTATGCAAGCGAGTAAAAGAACCGAATTACCACCTAGCTTTTACAACTTAAAACCAGAGGACATAAAAAGGGAGCAACAACTTCGGTAACCAGATGTTCAGTCGATTTTCGTTAATTATTAAACGTTCAGCACGTTCGATTCTATTCTATTCTATTCTACGTGTAACAGAACCGAGGCTTGCGAAAAGAATCAGATGCTGAGAACGAGGAAGATGAGGGAACGGGACAAGGAGCAAGAACGCAAGAAATACAAATTCGCATTGATTCGCGTGAAATTTCCAGATAATCTCATATTGCAAGGAACGTTTTCCGTTCACGAGAACTTCCAAAGCGTCGTTGATTTTGTTACTGAGAACTTGGTATGCAACGACAAGCCTTTTTGCTTGAGACAGCTACCAGACACGACGTTCAACAAGGATTCCTTCGATAAAACGTTACTCGACTTGGGATTATTTCCTGCGGCTCTGTTGATGTTCGTCTGGGCAGATGCATCGAGACAACAGCAGCAGCAGCAGCAGGGAAAATGCAATGAATCCTCGGGATACTTGAAGGAGGAATTACTCTCTGTTATTCAGCCCGCTTAATATTACTTATACGTATAATTGGATCATATTTTATCTTCCCGAATTTCTCGATTACAAACGTGTCGTCGATAAAAGATTATTTCGGCATGAGTGTAACTTATCATCGTGGCTTTTGAGCGTACTCTATACAAAAACTATGAAAAATGGGAGAAACGTTCATTCCTAGGGCCTTGTATAACGCAAAGCGTCTCGTATAAGCCACGGATCAGAGAGATAAACGATGGACAGACGACAATATCGCTACTGATGACGAATCACTTTTATTTTATACCGAATCATCTAGTCTTTTTATTATACAATTCCTTTTTATGCGATCAACGTTTGAATTCTTCGTCTGTTATTTGTCGGTCAGTCAACACGAAGCAGAGAAGGAAATTCGTTTGAGTCAGATCCTAGAAATTTGTTCGATGCTTGCGTTATACAGAGGTGTCGCATGTTTAATTTAAAAAAAAAATCAATGGTTTGTAACAATTTTCGATTATCATAGTTCGAATATTTATAAATATTATTCTCTCCTATTTGTTTAGGCACTTTATAAATAAATTTCATGCCCAGTAAAATTGTGACAACTCCTTGATTTGCTAGGATATTCTTTTGCTTTCGCAGTAACCAATTATTTATTGAATAGAAAATAATCGAAACTAACATTCTTGGACAGCTATTTTTAAACGTTTAATATTTCATGTACCTAAAAGACAATTGGGGATACAATTTTATGTGCTTTGTTATGTATACGATACTAAGACGCGTAATAAAAACCATCGTTTATCACTGTGTACATCGATCTTGCACATTCGTGCATTTTTGGCACTTGTTAATAATAATAATAATAAGAAGAAGAAGAAGAAGA